GGACTCAAGTGGTCCTGGTGCCTCTAGGGCTTCGTCCCACCTGTGAGGCCACACACCTGTGCTGATGGGTACTGACAGGTATTGGTGGGTATCAGTAGGTACTGATGGGTATCAATGAATGCTGGGGGTAATTGATGGATACGAATGGGTGCCGGTGCATATCGGTGGGTACTGATGGATGCTGGTGGGTATTGGTGGAGATCGGTGGGTTCTGGTGAGTATTGGTGGGTATCAGTGGGTACTGATGGGTATTGATGGGTACTGATAGGTATTGGTGAGTGCTGATGGATATTTATAGATGTTAATGGGTGTTGTATCACGTTTTACTCAAATGAGAGAAAGAATCCGGAGTTCCGACCTCCGTCGATGATCAAGATTCAGGGACGCTGTCTCGTTTGCCAAGGTGTCAAAAATCAGATGGGCTGGTCAGTAATGAGATTTAGAGACAACCGCTGGGTTAGAGCAGTTACCAATTGGATTCCACGGGATGTCAAAAGACCGCATGGCCGCCCACCTACCAGATGGTCAGACTTCTTCGTCAAGATCATGAACGATCGGTTTGAGGCCCTTCATGTTCCCGGAGCGAACAGACGCCATTGGGCTACACTAGCACGCGACAGGGACGAATGGAGACTTTACTGGCGCCCGCTCGAGCAAATCGACGATTAATGGGAAGTCAAGTGATCAAGTGGGTGTTGTTGGGTACTGATTAGTATTGATAGATATTGGTAGGTGCTGATGAGTGATAAGGGATGCTTATGGGCATTGATAGGCATGACGGTACTGATGGATGCTGTGGGTATTGATAGACAAGGTCGGTGGCCCAGGGCTGCTGCAGGCCCGCTCACCCCCCAGAGGGCCGTCTGGTGTCCTGTGACGTGAGAAGGCAGTGATTAGCGTGGCTTGACCCGCTGACGTGCAGGCATCATTGATCTGGTAATTTGTCGCTATCTTCTACTTAGAGTAAATGGCCCATGAAGAAATTTATGTCAGCGTGTTTCGCAGCGAATCAATATTCGAAAGGAAATCCATGTGGACAGCAGGTGACTGGGCTCGGTGGGCAGGCGTGCGGCTCTTCCCCGATGGATGCGTGTGGCCTTGCCTTGCGGTATTTTATTCCTGGGAGGTGGCGTCTCACCGGCAAACGTCAGTGAGCGCTGGCTCACGCCGGACTAACCTCCAGGCGGGGGAAGGCGCTTGGGAACCTTCCTGGCCCCCCATGGGGTTCCGGCCTCTCGCAGGCCGACTGCCCCTCCCAGTGTCCGCTGGCGTCGGGACGTCCCTCTGCCCATTACCGCGTGTGTGGGCTGCAGTGGGCCCAGGCTGTGCTCCTGCCAGGGAACCATCCCAGCTGCCGGCCCTCAGCCCTGCTCAGGATTGTCCCCCCGTCACCATGGCCCAAGCACATGCGACCTGCCTGCTGCACTGCTCTCGCCCTCAGTGCTCCGGGCCCGCAGCCTTGGCCTGACCCTGGACACCTCAGCGTGTCCCCTTCCCCAACCTCTCCCCCATCCTGCCTCAGTGCGAGCTCCCTGCTGAGCCCAGTTCCGTGCTCGTCCTTCCTGCGCCTCTGGGCATCAGCTGTTCCCCTGTGAGGTTCCTTATGTCCCGCATATAAGAGGGTCATTGTGGCTGTTTCTCCCCCTGGCTGGCTCCACCCGGCCCTCTCCAGATCCACCCTCCTTGCGGCAGATTGTGTGATTTTGTCTTTGCTCACGGCTGCGTGGTATTCCGCTGTGTCTGTGTACAGGACTCGGAAGGAGCGAACAGCGGTGCTGAGTTCCCTGGCGGTGAGGCAGCAGCCGGGGGGCAGCGGCCTTCCCCGGGGCTCCGGACGTTCCTGCAGGGGCTGCCTCCCTGCGTGCCCACCGCAGGGCCGTGCTCTGGTGCTCGAGGCATCCTACAGCAAGAGCAACGTTTCGCTCAGTTTCCCAGAAAGGTCACTGCAAGCGGGGGTGCAGCTGGCCTCCACCACGGAAACGCCGGGTCGAGGAGCACTGTGCTGCTGTGACATTGCATGAGTCACATGTTCTCGGGTTCCAGGCGTCTGGCGGAGTGCGTCTAGAAGCAGAAGGGTGTGATGTCCCTCTGGGGCACGGAGCGAGTGGCCGGCCGCACAATTCTCTGTCCTGTTTCAGACTCGGGGGTCCCGGTAAATACAGCGTCGACGTGGGGGTGTCTCACCGGCCCTCGGAGACCCGCCTCGGGCACAGTGACGGCCTCTCCCGCCTTCTGCTGTGGCGCCGGTTGCTCCTGGTCCCAGCTCTGGTGGGCAGCAGAGGAAACGGGCCTGTGGGACCCTCCCTAGTGCCCAGATGGGCCCGTCCTGGGCTGGGGCGTGAGGGGGCTCCCGGCGTGCAGGGGGAAGGGGGGCTGAGGGCCGTGACGTTGGTGCTGGTTCCCGACGGATGTGCCGTTTCCTGCAGAACACGCTCGGTTCTTTCTGTCCCCACGACCCACTGTTGGTTCTTGCTGGGGACGTGTGTGTGTGTGTGTGTGTGTGTGTGTGTGTGTGTGTGTTGTTTCATGTTGCCGAGCTGCCTGCAGGGGTGTCTGACGTTGGCGCTGAGCCGCCTTCCCTCCAGCGCCGGGACTTAGGCCAAGACTGTCGGGTCTGAGGCTGCTTTGGGGCGTGGGTGTGGAAGGTGCAGCTGCTGCCTGAGACTCTGCAGCTCCCTACACAGTGCTCCACCCCGACAGTGCTTCCTTCCGACCGTGACCTGCACCGTTGACCCAGGCGACTTGGGAACCCGCCTTTGAGCATCAGAACAGATCCCGCTGGGGGCTGGCAGCCCGGCAGGTCTGGGCGGGCGCTGGGTTCATGCCTGGCAGCACCACCACGAGTGACCCCTGAGTGCAGAGCCGGGAGTCAGCCCTGAGCACTGCTGGGTGTGGCCCTGAAACAAACGAAAGAATAGATCCCGGTTGGTTGCGCTGAGGAGAATGTGCTTATTGAATTAACTTCCCTGGAGCCGCTGTCCAGCAGACCGTGGAACGGAAATGCCCAGGGTGACGTGAGCTCGGGCCGGGCCTACGTCGAGAGCGATGGCTGAGAGTTCGGGCGACAGCGCCGGGGGCTCCCGGGTTCCCCTTTGCTCTCGGGAAGAATTGCTCGAACAGGCGCGGCACCCCACACAGTGCCACTGCAGGCGGGCAGGGATGGGGGGGCTTCGGGGGCCACCACGGCGGTGACAGGAGGCCGGTTCTGAGAGGGGCGGATTCACAGGAGGAAGCACGTCAGCCCCGACCCGTTGACGGGGGCGGGTGGGAATCTGGGGGCAGGCGACTGATGGGGGGTGGGGGTCTGCCCGCAGACAGGTGGGGGCCCCTGAAGGAGAGCCCAGCCCGGGACCGGCCGGAAGGGCCTCCAGGTCGCTTCATCCCTCCCCAGTGAGTGACCATCTGCTTGAGCCCTCCCGCCTGGCGCCTGTGGGGCCGTGCGCCGTGGCCAACTGTCGTGGCAAGGCGAGCCAGGTCCAGACTTTGGCTGGCACCGTGGCTCTGGGCTGCCGGGGGAGGGGCCAGGGACCTGAACCGCCTCCTCCCCGCGGCAGCCCACCAGGGTGTGAGGTTCTGCTCTGTGGGGCAGGCAAGGGCTTCCGGAACATTCTCTGTGTCAGGCCGTTGTGTGGGGCTGCAGGGGCCACGGCCTGGACGCCAGGGTCTCAGCCTGGATCCCAGACCTTGCGCGTACTCGGGGATCGGCAACTCACGAGGTGGAGTCGCTGCGCCCTTGGGTGGCTTCGGGGGCTCCGCCGGGCAGGGACTTGGCCCGCTGCCCACTCTGGGCACTCGGGGTTTGCAGCTGCAGAGACCAGGGCGTCCGGCTGCTCGCTGTGCGTCTGCCAGGAAGTGGGGGCGTCGGGGGCCGCTGAAACGCACTTAAAAAGCATCACTGCACTCCCAAGGTCGCTCGTGGCCGGGTTCAGTCACGTGACGTCCCCACAGCCGCCCCTTCTCCAGGGCACATTCCCAGTTTCCCTCCCGCCCGTCCCCCACACACAACCTGCCTCTGTGGCACTTTTCTTCTTTCTCTCTCTGAAACACCGTTTTATTCATCACTGTATCACTGTCGTCCTGTTGTTCATGGATTTCCTCAAGCAGGCCCCAGTAACGTCTCCTTCGTCCTAGCCCTGAGATCTTAGCAAGTGCCACATTCGAGGCTCCTTCAGTTTCAGGGGAATGAGACCCATCATTGTTACTGGTGTTTGGCATATCGAATACGCCATGGGGAGTTTGCCAGACCCTGCCGTGCGGGCAGGATACTCTCAGTAGCCTGCCGGGTTCTCCAAGAGTAAGAACTAGATAATAAGATGTCGCGGCCGCATGATTCTGGGAGCTGGGTAGTTTCTGGGTCTTGGCTGTTGATGGCATAACACGGCGCCGGGGGCAGTTGGCGGGTGTAATGCCTAGATACTGGAAGATGGGGGATCTGGGTGGAGGAGGCCCCAGTCCCGATCCGAGCAGGCTTGGAGATCTCAGCCCCGGATCCCACATGCCTGGGTTCCTCTGCCAGTTTCTTCATGCACGAGCCTCGTTCGAACGTGTGGAGAGTAGTTTTTTTTTTTTTAATCATCACTGTCCTCCCGTTGTTCATCGATTTGCTCGAGCGGGCCCAGTAACGTCTCCATTGGAGACTTTGTTGTTACTGTGTCTGGCATATCGAATATGTCACGGGGAGCTTGCCAGGCTCTGCCGTGCGGGCGAGATACTCTCGGTAGCTTGCCGGGCTCAGGAAGGTAGTAAGACTGGGAAAAAAATTCTCAGTTCTAGAATCTTCTCCTGCTGAGACTATGATGTGGGCCTGGGGAGAACAGAGAGGAGGAGGAGGGGGAGGAGGAGGAGGAGGAGGAGGGGGAGAAGGAGGAGGAATGGAAGGGGGAGGGGGAGGAGGAGGAGGAGGAACGGGAGGGGGAGGAGGGGGAGGAGAAGGGGAGAGGAGGGGAGGGCAGGGGCGAGGGGGCGCGGGCGCCTGGTCACCGGCCTCCCCTGTGCTGCAGGAGCTGGTTGGCAGCAACCCCCCGCAGAGGAACTGGAAGGGCATCGCCATCGCGCTGCTGGTGATCCTGGTCATCTGCTCGCTCATCGTCACCTCCGTCATCCTGCTGACGCCAGGTAGGCGGGCTCGGGAGGGGAGGGAGGCGCCCCCGCTCCCCGCCTCTGCGCCAGCGTCCCCCGTCCTGCCCCGGGTCAGCTGGCGCCAGAGAATCTCGCCTTCTTGGCTCGGGGCTTGTCCCTGCCGCCGCCGCCGCCGCCACCACCACCACCGCCGGCAGGTGGCTTGCGACAAATCCTTCACGCCTGTGAGCCCGAGGCAGCTGCTGTGCGTGATGACTTCACACGTCCTGGGGCCTGGGGTTAGCTCAAGGGCAGAGGGAGGAAACGTTCCCACACATCAGACAGCTTGTCGGGCCGGGGCGCCGCCAGGAGGGACCCCTTGGCACAGCCCACCAGGGTCCGATCATGGGAGGAAGACACAGAGGGCCATCGCAGGGGGGGCACCGCGCAACTATTCCAGGGTTCAGTCCCCGGCACCCCACTTGGTTCCCCGAGCACTGAGCCAGGAGTAGGCCTCAAGAACCACCATGCCTGCCCTGCCCCAAACAGTTACCTAAAAACCTAGAGCCAACGCATGTGTCAACAAGCAAATTGAGTTCTTGTAGACCCAAGTGCTCTGAGCGCCCCCGGGCCCTATGGAGAGTCTGGAGGGAGTAAAGGGGTGAGCCACGCCAAGGACAGAGCACTGTCCCTAAGCACTTCCCTGAGCACTGTCTCTGAGCGCTCACTGAGCACTGTCTCTGAGCACTGTTCCTGAGCACTGTCCCTGAGCACAGCCCCCCGCAGAGCTAGCGGCCAGGGTGGGATAACCCAACAGAAATGGGCACATGGCCAAGGAGCAGGGCTGTCACTCCCACCCACTCTCACGGTTTCGGGGCCTGTTTGTGGCATTAGAGTCCAGCACCCTAAAGTAGAAAACTTAGGACTCAAACTGGGGGAAATACACTGTCAGCTTCTTTACAGAGGTGCAGACCCTGCTGTGAGTATTCGTTCTTCAGCGGCTCTGGGCGCCAGGCCCCGGGCTCAGGGGTCGTTCCTGCCAGCCCTGGAGCGTCTGTAGCAGCGGGACTAGGCCAGGCCATCTCTGTGCCAGGCAGACAGCGGAACCCTGCGTTGTCTCTCGGGCCTGTGAGGGATTTCCAAACTATTGCCACAGACTTAAATAAAGGAGTATTGGGGTGCTGAAAGGGAGTATCGATTACCTCTCGGTACTGTACTGTACTGCAAACCATGATGCCAAAGAGAGAGAGAGAGAGAGAGAGAGAGAGAGAGAGAGAGAGAGAGAGGCAGACTGAGGAGGGGTGATGGGAGGGAACCCGGGGACCTTGGTGGTGGGAAATGTCCACTGGTGAAGTGACGGGTGTTGGAACATTGTATGACTGAAACCCGACCATGAACAGCTTTGTAATGGCCTGTCTCATGATAATCCCATTAAAAAATAAACCAAGATAAATAAATGGAGGAATATTCTATACCCTTGAATCCACACTTATCCAAAGAAAAGAGGACTGCAAACCAGAACCTTGAATGAATATAGACGCAACTCTCCGAGAAATACCCCCAGACCCGACCGGCCGCTTACCAAAGGCCACATACCTCGGCCACGTGGAATTGGTCCCAGAAAAGAAAATCCAGGGCGCATAGGAGGATGAATCCAACAGCCCCGCATTTTCGGGAAAAAGGCAGTCACAGAAAGAAAGGGAAGCAGCATATTATTTCAGTACAGAATAAATGTTTCACAAAACCTGAAATTCTTTCATAAGAAAACACTCAGACATCTAAGAATGGAAAGAAGTATACTCAACCTGATAACGAGAATCTGTGTAAAACCCACAACTGATGAAATATTTAAAGGTGAAATAGGCATATATTCCTCCCAAAATGAGGAATGAAACAAGATGTTCACCTGTTATTAATATTTTATTGAATGTTCTAACCAAGACTATCAGGCTTGAGGCTGGAGGATGGGACGGCGGGGCGGGCACTTGCTCTGCTTGTGGCCGACCTGGGCTCAGTCCCTGGCACTGCCTAGGGTGCCCTGAGCACAGAGCCAGGAGGAAGCCCTGAACATCGCCAGGTGTGGCCCCAGAACAAAAAAATAGATAAGTAAATAAAATACTGTTAGGCTAGGAGAAAAAAGAAAAACAGGAAAGAAGTAAAAACTGTCTCTCGTACGTGGTGTGAGCCTACATTTAGATAATTATACGGAACTCCATGCAGACTCTATTATAAAAAATAAAATTGCTATTAGTTTATTGCTGGAAGGCACACGATCATTATACAAAAACTATTTCCTTTTCTGTGCAAAATGGAACTGAAAAATGATTCTACTTACAGTAGAGAGAATAGAATATTTGGGGCTGGAGCAATAGCACAGCGGGGAGGGCGTTTGCCTTGCATGCGGGTGACCCGGGTTCGATTCCCAGCATCCCATAGGGTCCCCTGAGCACTGCCAGGAGTAATTTCTGAGTGCAGAGCCAGGAGGAACCCCTGAGTATTGCCGGGTGTGACCCAAAAAGAATAGAGAGAGAGAGAGAGAGAATAGAATATTTAAGGAATAGGTAACAGAAGAATAGAAGACTAAGCCTGACTGGAGCGACAGTGCCTGGCTAATGTGCTTGCTGGCCTCGCACGAGTTTGGTCCCCAGCACCCGAGTGGTCCCTGAGCCCCCAGGAGTGATCCCTGAGCACAGAGCCGGGAGTCAGCCCTGAGCACCGTGGGTGCAGCCCCAAACAAACCAACAGCAAAGCTATAACGCGCAAACCAGGCAGCATGATTGGAAGGGATCAAGACCCTCACGGACACCGCCGGAGCGTGGCGGGCGCCTTGTTAACACGGCCACAGCCCCCCGCCCACTCGGACGGAGCCCACTGGGTCAGCCTTTACTTTCAGCGACTCGAATCATATTGATGGACACGGTGGTGCTCGACCTCATGAGAAGATCGGAGCTCAGACTGGCCGGAAGCCGTGTGGGAAGGACACGTCTCAGGAACCGTGACGACCAGGAGCGAGACAGGGAAGCCCGACCGGGAGAGGCAGAGCTGCCCCAGAGACACGTCCGCTCAGCCTTGAGGGCGGCCAGGGGGACGGGGAGGACGCCAGCCCTGGCCTCGCTGTGTCCACGCCCAGATGGGCAGCAACTGGCGCAAGGCCGGGAGCGGCGACTCCTCCAGCTCTGCTGCCAGCCCCGGGCCCGGACGCCCCACCCCGCCCTTGGCTCTGCGGCGAGTCCCGCGCCCCCTCCCACCCAGGCTGGGCATCCCTGCCCGGCCTCCAGTGGCTTCGTGCTGACCCTCGGGGCGGAGGTGGAGGCCTGGTTATGCCACTCGTTCTGGAACTTTCTCCCATGCTCACCCCAGCGGGAGGCCTGTGCCGGGCCAGATGCAGGGTGCGCGGGCCAGAGCTGCTGCCGGCTGAGTGGATGGGACCCACCCAGCAGCGACTCCAGGGGCTCCTGCCTCCACGCTGTGACGTGCAACCGACCCGCTGACCTGACGGAGCAGGGCGTGAGGGAGGAGGGTGCCGACGGCCTCCAGCAGGGGCCCCGTGGGGGTGGCCCCCAGCACGCAGTGTCTGGGCATGACCTCGGGTTGCCCCAGCCTGGGTTCTGCTGCCTGAGCTTCCAGCAGGGTCGTCCTGTTCCCGTGGGCCGAGCTCAGGGTGTATTTTTTTTTTTTTTTTTGCTTTTTGGGTCATACGCGGCAATGCACAGCGGTTACTCCTGGTTCATGCACTCAGGAATCACTCCTGGCAGTGCTCGGGGGGCCCTATGGGATGCTGGGAATCGAACCCGGGTCAGCTGCGTGCAAGGCAAACGCCCTCCCCGCTGTGCTATTGCTCCAGCCCCTCACAGTGTATTCTTACACCCAGGAAGCGTGTGGAGTAGCTCACACTGATGAAGTGGGGGTTGGTCCACACCACGACACGTGGGCAGTGTCAGGGAGTCCCACCCATGAGCCTCTGCTCAGCTGTTGGTCTGGCGAAGGCTTCCTGGGGCCGCGGTTATTGTGTGAGCTGGAAAACACGGCCCCTTTGTGCGTGAAAACACCCCGCGTGGGCCTTGGTGCACTGTCGCATCCAAGAAAGCAGGGTGGTGTGCGATGGAAGCCACCAGAACCCCCTCGGGCGTCCGAGCAGGGCAGGCCATGTAGGTCGGCCTTTGGGGGAGGCAGCCAGGCCGCGTGTGTGGAGTTGAAATTTCACCCCTGCCCGGCTCGAACCCGACATCTGAATCTCGCGGAGAACTCCCAGCGTGTCTGTTGGATTTGCGATTGGTCTCGGAGGCTTTCTTGAGAGAGAGAAAAAGAGAACAAGTGGGCAGTTACGGCTCATCATCAGCTTCTCCTGCGGACGATGTGGAGGCCGCATGCAGGACACTCAGCCGCTCTGAGTTAACACGGCGCCAAGGGCAGATGGCGCTTGTGCTCCTGACCTCGGCTGGGCCCCCGACCCCACTCAAGCCCTGGTGCCCTCGGCCCCTCGCTCTGGATTCGGGCCAGAGTCGCCCTCACCGGCTCTCCCCGCGCGAGGCTCTCCTTCCGGGCGCTGCGACCCCCAAGTCCACATCAGTCCAGCTGCCGCTAGGGTTCCCGCGGGTGACACAGCCTGGGGGTCTCGCTGCCCTCCCCCGCTCCACCTGCCTTCCTCACCACAGAGGAGAGAGAGAGAGAGAGAGAGAGAGAGAGAGAGAGAGAGAGAGCGCTTCTGTCTCTTCTTAACTCACTCGCTCGTTTTGCACTTTCTCGAATGGCCCTTCAGACTAGGCGTCTCCCGGCTGCGCTCGGCCTCTCCGTGCCTCTCCCGGCTGTCAGCTCCTTCTCTGCAGCCGAGCAGAGCATCGCTGGGCGGCGGGAATCACAGTTACCTGTTACCCCACCGAAGGACACGTGTGCTTCCGTGTTCCGGACACTGTGGAGGAAGCGGCTCTGCACTTCTCTGGGCCGATTATAATGTGGACTTAACGTTTTCAGCTATTTGGGGGAAAATATCTTTTAAAACTGCAGTGAGCAGGGCCAAGGCAATAGTATAGCGGGGAGGGCGTTTGCCTTGCACACGG